CCCCCCCCCCCAAGTTTGAGCCCACCTCCTCTGAAATGCAGTATCATGAGTCCTATGGATCCCATTAATTTTTAGCGTGGCCTTGGGATACAAAAAGGTTGCTGTCATATGGCTACCAAAATGCTGCTATCCAAGAGCTCCTTTGGATTCTTACTATGTGGCTGCAGTTGAGTGAGGTCTCGTAAGATAGTCCGGAAGGAGGGTCGCTCTCCAGGAGCATAGTTTAGGCACTGGCTGATTAGGGTAGCTAGTTCTTTGAAGGATGGCTCTGGAAGATGATGTTTTTTCTCATAAAAGCGTTCTTTCTGCAATAAAAATAGAGGCTTAAGGTTGAAGGGTTCCATATTGCTAAATGAAATCAGGTTATACATAGAGAACCCACTGATATTTCTTTTTTAACAAGGTATCTCTGGTCTTCACTGTAGGCCAACCAGCTTTAAAATGGGATCTAGATGCCTAATAACTACAGCTAAGTCTTAAAGGTGGCCATAAAAATCTGCCTGGTATCCAGTCCAGGAATCCTATTTCTCTTACTTCTCTTCCATTATTTCAGTTCCTGAACAAAATCACTGCGTTATAAGAATACCTTAAGGAAGCTATTCCATTCCTATTAAATTACCTGGAAATGGGGTGCAAATTAAGTGATGTTATTGTTGCTCACTCTCAGTCAAATGCTCAACTCATTTCTGACTTTTCAAGATCCAATGAACGTAATTTCTCCAGAATGGTCTATCAGTTGCTTATTTTTAAATTTCTTCTAAGCTCATGATTGTGCCATCAATGACTGCACCTAGCCTCCTTGTCCTCTGCCAGTCTCTTTTGTGATTGCCTTCAGTTTTTCAAGCATCGGGCTCTTCTCCAATAATTCTTGTCTTTGCATTATGTGCCCAAAATATTTAAGCTTCAGCTTCATTATCAGTGCTTCTGTATGCAGTCTAGTACTGAATAATTTGTTCGTTTTGCAGTCCAAGATAGTTTCAACAATTTTTTCCAACACCATTATACAAAGGCATTAATTTTCTTTGTTTAGCCTTTCTGATGGTCGAGTTTTCATAGCTACATGTTACAACAGAGAAAACCATGGCCTGGATAATATGTACCTATGACATCACAGTAATGTATCTGCATTTTAATATTTTGTCTAGCTCTATCATAGTCTTTCTCCAAAGTAACAGATGTTTCTTCATTTCATGGCTACAGTCACAATCCTTGTAAATTTTTGAGTCTAAGAAATAAAGTCTGTTAGTACTTCAACTTCTCTGGCTATTAGCATTAAACTGGGATTTCCTGCTGACATAAACTTGGTTTTTATTAGTTTTTTTACTACAGTTTGTGCACTTCTTTCATCTTCAACAAGAAATTCCTTAAGTCTTCCATTACTTTCAGCCATCAAAATGGTATCATCAGCATATCTGAGGCTGTTGATGCTTCCCAGCAATTTTAATTCAAATTTCTATTTCTCCTTCTTCTGCATTACGTCTGCCTAATAGCTACAACATATTTAAAGCAGAAATCCTACATCCTTTATCTGGAAATATGTTCAGTGAAACTCAGTGGAATATTTTTGTGTAGACAGTTCTATTCAAGCACTTTAATTTCACCAATCTTATAACATAGAGTAGATCTTTCTGTATTTGTAGATGAAATTGTGAGAATAAGTCACTATCTAATGCTACTTATTTTTTAACGGTGATGTGCATTTTTTAGGGTTTAAAGTGTAATTTTTATATACTTCTCATATTAAAATGAGTTCACGCCTGGAGATCTTTATGGCTTCCAACCATAATATATTAGTTCCATAGGTAATATACTGTATGTATTCTTAACACAGAATGTATTATTTAATGCAATAATCTAGAACTTAGTTATGTATTTATAAACAAAGTTATCTAGACTAATAGCAGAGCAGCCAAATATTCCTACAGAAGAAGTTTCCAGTTGTGACACTCTTTACAGGCTAGAACTAGGTCCACCCCTTTCTGTAAGAAACCTACCTCAAAGTCTGCAGCAATATAATGGTACTGCAAAAGAAAAGTAGAGGGAGACACTACCTCAGAAGGAGTGCGTTCTTTTAGTGGCACATCTGCATCAAAACATATTTCCAGCAGTGTGGTCCCAAAGCTCCATTTGTCAGCTGCTGTGCTAAGGTTGCTTACATCTTTGACACACTCTGGAGCTATCCACGGGATCCGGTCAACTCGTTCTTTATAAGCAGAGAAAGAAATCAAGGATTAGGGACTGCTGGCAGAGAACATAGTAATGAACAGAGAAAATATGCAAAATCTGGTACACATATTGATTTCAGTCAAGTTAAGAAAGACAGTTCAAATATTTACCCAGACAGTGACATGCAGGCAGTTTCATGTAGGCCTCCTTTGCATGTAATATGCAATGTGAGCATGACACATAAAGATCTGTCTGCAATTCTTCCTTTGTAAAAATATGGGCATAAAAAGTGCTTGAACTTGATTTTTTACAAGTATGGTCCCTTTAAACAAACCAGCAAACAAATGTATCCCTCCTTAAATAATCCATGCTACTTTTAAAGGTGGAATTACTGAGTTGTTGGCAAGGGCTGGGATCTGCTGAATCATTTCACCAGCAGAGAAAATAACTGCACTCATAAAACTTTATAGCAGGTTGGGTACCCAAAGGCCATCCTTAATGTTCTTTGGAAGACTAAAGGCCATAAAACAAATGGGGTCACATCATATATTGGGGTAGGTGGGGGAACTAGGTTTCTGAGTTGGAGTTTGGTGGTTTTCTTTATTTTTCAATTATTATATGCATATTTTAGGGCTTTAAGTGTGATTTTTATCTATTGCCAATTTCAAAATGATAGGAAAGTCTCTCATCAATTCTCAGAAATGCTGGTCAGAGATAGTTTTGAGAACCACAAAAATGAGACTCAGACATTGCTGGTTGCCCATCTCTGCTTTATGATATTGGCTGACCTGACTGAGGCAGCAAACTGAGGTAGCCTTCTCCCCAAAGCAGGACTTTCACCTATATCTCCCGAAGAGGTGAATGCCTGTTTCAACTGTACATAAGAGGGTCATATGTTTTTCCATAGAAAAATGATTTAATGCTCACAAAAATTAGCATAGTAGGGAGAAGGTCAAGTTAGAAAACATTAAAGAAGTATAATCTAATTCATGGTTCATAACCAAGAGGATATTTTCCAAGGGAAATATTATTAACATGAATGAGAGGTTGTGCTAAAAATGTTCCCGGAGGACTATGCCCTATGAAAAGTTAGCTAAAGATACTATAAAACCAATACAGACTTTTCTAATGCTCACTTTGGCTTTGCAGAAGATTTGGAATGCACCAAGGGGTCCCTTTGAAACCACTTTGCTTCTGATAGAATAAGGCAGTTACTATCACTACAAATACAAGATCATCTATTAAAAAATACTTGTCCAAAAATGTCCAAACACATACAAGCACTCACACCATACAATAGTGTATGAAAAACATTTATACTGATTCCCCCTACTGATCTGATATGCTTTCACAGAATTGTTCCATTCAACCTTGCTATATAGTATATTCAGCTTGATTACCTCTATGCACCCCAATGACCACAAATGTGAAGAGGAAACTAGTTTCCAAATATTAATGGTTTACCTTCTCGGGAGAGCACAGTGAAGCTGACTCCTGGGTCGCTGAGCTTAATGAAGGGAAGCAAGCCATCTTCCAAACCTTTCCTGGCCAACAGGATGTTTTTGGCACATACATTGCCATGCACTAGGTTTTTATCTTCCTACATAAACAAACACAATGGTAGATTGTGAAATACTATATCTGATGTGTGTCGGGGAAAAAAAAGTTCTGCTCCTTAGAAAAAAGAAGAGTGAGCTTCCATCTCTAGCTTCCTGTATAAGCAAATCTGGTCTTTCTTGCATTATGCCAAAGAACACATTTAGAATTCCTTAACATAAACTCCCTGTAACTACATCATTTATTTATCACATTTATAAACCACCCAACTCATTAAAACTATGAGCAGCATACAACTTAAAAGCAACATTCAATACAATAAAAACTGAAAGAAGGTAAAAACCTGGGGGGAAAAACACTAACACACTGATAAAATCCACCCCCCACCCTCAAGGGTACATACTATTTAGCACCTGGGGAAGGAGCCAAGCCTTCAAGGATTGTTTAAAAGGTAAGAGGGTTGGAGCAACTTGAACCTCTAGGGAAATACTGTTCCAGAGAGCAAGTGCTACAACAGAGAACATGTGCCACCTGAGTCCCATCAGATGATACTGTTTTAAGGATGGAACCTGAAGTATGTCTACTCTATCAGATCTTGCTAGATGGGCAAAAACAATGGGAGAAAGGTGGTCCCCAAAATATTAAAGCCCTATTTACTGTCTATTCCTCTTCTTTTCTATACATCAGGGAAAATAATGTCACACCTGTCCTATAGGTGTGGCTCCCTTTTGTCTCTTCAAGCTGAGAATCACAGGCACCCACATCTCAGTTCTGTCCCTCAAGACAGAATACCACATCTCTGGAAACAAGGAGTTGCAGTCTTAAACTGTTTCACAATGGATAACTACCTTCAGTTCCAATGATGTTTATTTTTCTTCTTATGAGACTTGAAGATTCTAGAGTGTACTTCTGACCTTTTTGTATCTCCCATGCTTGTTTCCAACTTACAAAGCAGATGTAAACTATTTCATTGTTCATTCTTCACCCAAAAGAAAAACAGTTCTTTGAACTGAGGGAAGGTTCAAATCAATATAGCTATGCAACTTCAGATTTAATTCCAAAAAGATGCTTTGAAGTGCATGGACGTGTGTTTGTGTATATATATATAGCACTTTTCCGCAACCTTTAATGCAGTTGTGTCTTTTCCTGGAATCACGGGGTATAAAGCACCTTTTCAGAATCAAATCCAAAGTACTGCATAGCCCTTCTGATCAATATCTATACCGAACTACATTTCCAAAGATTTCTGGGGTGAAGGACTAGTAATTGAATGATATATAAGAAACAGAATCCTACATTAATTGTAAGAGGTCCTTTGGGCCACTGTGTATAACCCCTGCTCAGTGCAGGAATTCAAATTAAATCATCTCCAGAATAGAGATCAGCCAAAATGACATCCAAACTTTTTAGGGAGACCTACCCACTGTAAATCCCCACCAAGAGACTTACAAGGTAACTCAGGGCACTAGCTAATTGTGTTGCAATAGTGAATTTCCAGCCTACTGTTATCCGTCCTTTGTTATTCCGCAAAAAAACATCCAGGGGGCCATGCTCAATGAATTCTTCCACCATTATATCTGAAATTCAAACCAGAAGAAGGGGTGAAAAATATGAAACAAACAAACAGACAAAGGAATTAGCATCTTTGCTCTGTAGCAACAGGTGTAATACTGGCCAAAAAACATGAGCAGAAATGGGAATAGGCTATTTTCATTGTTCTGACATACCTAAGGTAGATCTAAGACAGAGGTGCATATGCTCAAAACTCAGGGCCAATGCATCTGAAGCCTCATTTTTCCAGCCTTCAAACCACTATTTCTCACCATAAAATAAGTCAAATCATTGATGTAAGACCTACAAAAACTTAACAATTGTTTAAAATTAAGAACTTCCTACTGCAAAAAAAAGGGGGGGGGAAACAGCCCCACTCATTTAGCACAATAATCCAGTTCCCTGTGGCTCCTGAATATCTCAGAGATATTAAGTGCATTTCTTGGCCATCAAAAAGTAGCCCCCAAAAGAAAGATGATCTATTGGTTAGAAACTGAAGATAAAAGACAACCATGTCAAGACACAATTGGGTATGGGTAAGTGGTGTCAGTTTAACACCCTTTTTTGTTAGATACAAAAAAAGATAAAACAGTATTAAGCAAGTAAGAATCAAAAAGCATGCAAGAATATAATCTTGAATCTTGTGGGGTAGCTGAGGAAGCAAGAGAAAAATATTTGAAAGAAGCAGACAAGACAGGGATGAACCTTTCAAAGGATACAATTCATACTCACTCTCTGAACCCCATACACAAACCCCATGAACAAAGGCCAAGTGGATATGGGACACCTGGCTCATCAGGCTGGCTGTTTCAAAGAATGCCTGCAGAGAAGAAAGGAGAGGCATCACATCCAGGCCACTGGCCAAGGAACAGAGCAGGGGCAGCCTAATCCAGCCACAGGCTCCTAAACTACTAATTAGTCCTCAGCTTAATGCTGAAGCACAGGACACCTACTGCTATAAAGCAAGAGTTAATTTCTTATTCACTGTTTTGTTTTTCTCCACAACAGAACAGTAGGTTCATTTTAGGAGCTAGGCTAAATAAGCTTTATTAACTTTTTAAAAATAAAAGCAGCTTTCTCAACATGAGTCCTTGTTTAGTTGTATTTTAATTTCTCTTGCTTATTTTTAAAACAATATTTACAGGCACTGTTACTGTTTAAATATGGGGGAATAAGATAGGCTAGAAATGCTGGTAATAAACAATTTTGCAATTAAATAATCAAAAGTTACTGTTGGTTTAGTTAAAAATGAGATATATCTTAAGAATGTAGAACTTGTTTTCCACCATTGGCCTGAATTAAGCTGCAAACTGAAAAAGGCATGAGTAGTATCAACACCATCACAAAGAAGGCTGCTGCTCAGAAGTTGTCTCATGACAAGCTGGATCAAAACCAAAAGCCTGTATCAGGCAGGGTCCTGTCTCCCACAGTCTCCAACCATCTGTCTATGGTAAACCTAAAATAGGACATACAACTCTTTCCTATTACTGCTTATTGGCAGTCAAAAATGTGGTGTTTTTTAATCTTGGAAGTGGTACATGGTCATCACTGCCAACAGTCTCTGGAGCAAGCTCATTATTACTCTTCAGTAGAGAGCAGATAAACAGGTGAAATAGTATACTCCTACAATATTTACTAATGTCCCCTTTCAAACATATGTTTCTATATGTCTACTCACCAGAGCAATGTCCCTATGGCTTGGGTCCAACATCTTGAGCACTACATGCATGTCACGGCTATTGTTATTCTGCTCAGTAGAAAAATAGTCTGTCTCATCATCACTGTTGACCCCACCACATACATGAAGTACACCATCATAAATATTGGTGCGTGTTCCTTGTCCCAAGTGTGCTCTCTGTTGGAGAACAATACACCAGTGTTTAGTTAAACCACTTTCCTTTACAACACAGGAGCTACTTAATCCTTTAATTCCACACAGAGCCAAGAACTGGATTCATAATTATTTGAAAATCAATACATTCAAATCCTATCTGTGTCTGACAAAGGTGAAAAAAGAAGACAGTAATCCCCACTGTCAAGCATTCATCTTGCTTTACTCAAATAAAGTCTACTTCCAGTCCCCCAGAAACACAGGAAAACCAAATTGGATCTATTGGTAGCTTCTAAGCCATGATTTATATTAGTTGGTATCACTTCTGAAACTGGCAGAGAAAGCTAGATCCTTTTTGGGTGATACCTGTACAAACTTAACCTTTCACCTTCCAGTGTATACAAGACAACTCTGCTGACCTGTGTAATCTCATTCTTCCGAATCTGATGAAAACTCAGCTGAGTCAAATTCAGAATCTGTCTTGTGCTGTCCTTCACTTTTCGTGTGATGAGCAGGTCTGAGACCTCTGCAGAACACAAATAGTCCAAAAGTTCTGATCAAGTAAATTACAGTAAAACAGTAGCACAGAACCTGAACATTTAAGGACATTTTAACATAACATTTAACATAAGGAAACATTTAGCAATTTTATTCATTCCCAGAAAATAGCACGCATAAACAACTGTTTAACGCTACTAGGGAAAATATGTGTCCCTAGAAACTGCACTTAATAAGTTTAAAAATGTATTATGCAGATGTTTTAAAAGTTGTTCCAGAAATGAATTCAACCAACACTTCTTCCTGAAACTCACTATTTCTGTCAACATTTTAATGTCCAACAGTACATCTTGCTGGATACTAGTTCTGGGAATTAGCAACTTTGCCCTCCCTCATAGCATATGTGCTTGCCAAGGCAATCCAGACCTCAAAGTTTCTTCTCCAACTGACATTGCAAATGAAGCTATGGGGGTATGTCTGGCTACAAGGGAATTGACTTTCTCAGTCACTATTTTAAAGAGCTCTATAAGTCCCCTTGAGAACCATTTTGGGCAGATTAACAAATAAATAAATAAGCAAACAGAAAAACACCTGAAATAAACCTCAGCAGAAACTTAAATTAAAAAAAAAAAGAGTGTGTCTCTCCTATGAAATAAGAATAAATGGGCAGAGAAAACTGTATTACAAAGAAACAGTTAAAAGCTTTCCTTACAGGATATTGTGCTATGACAGACAATGTGAGATCTTTAGATGGTGTCTTATAGGGTTGTGCAAAACATCCCATCCTGAAATAACGTCACAGATTTTCCCATGTTGAGCTTGAAACAGAGTGTCTGAAGCCCAGAATACTTTTTTTAAATCTATGGGTCGAAACATTCCCTTTCATAATCAAAGGAGGATATTTTGTGAATTTTTATCCTCAAAAATATTTCAAAATTGAAGATTTTGCACACATCTAGAGGCCTTCTATGCCACTTGCCTGAACACAGATGTTTTCTTACTATGAAACTTCAAAGCAAGAAAGAATAGAGGCAATTCTTGCTACATATTTACACAAAGATAATAACTAATAGCTTCTGCCTGGAGGAACAGTTGTTTCTGTAAACCATAGCTATGCAACCAAGATACAAATATAATTCCCTCCTAAATTTGATATTTTCAGCTAGAGTTTATAGAAATTATTTTTCAAGAAATGAAAAACTGTATTTAAAAATTATCTAAAACCAGAGGCTTTATTTTCCTCCTTTCATGCACAAAGGACAGCAACAGCACCCTAGACAGAGATTACATTTCTTTGGTTTATTTAATAAACAAGTATTTCCCTAAATCAAGGCAAATACAGTTACATGTGCTAAAGGTTTAAATTTATACTGAATCCACAGTAAGGACAACATACTATAGCTGCTATGTCCACTGCTATCCAAAATACTCTGTCGATTACTTAATCTGAGGTTAATGAGCCAGGTACTGTCCTGTCATTGAAACTATATAGCCCTTTCATTTAACGTATCATAGTCCAGTTGTGGTGTCTTAGCCTCTTGTGATAAAAACAGAATTCCATTCACTGAATTCCACAGTGAGGATTTTGGCCTACAAATGTACCTGATTGTGTAAGATTCTGAACACAAAATAGGGCCATCCACTGAACATCTTGTAAGACAAGTTACATGGGAGAGTGATGAGTGTGTACATCTGGAAATGGGAAGAGCTGTGGGTATGTTCTTATTCAGTTAATAACCCTTCATGCAATTCCATGGAATTCCTGATGAGGGGTTTTCAGTCTACCTAAGTTATATGTTTAGATTCACCACATTTGAATTGTATTATTATATCTTGACCAACTTTTGCAGTCCAACACTAAGCAATTATAGGGCTTGTGGTAGAAAAAATGCACCATGCTTGGTAGCAGGCTGATGTCACCTCTTCCTATTACATCCCTATGACCTGATCCATCTTCTTCACTGGACAAATTTCACTATTAGCCTACACAGTGGGGGAAGACAATTCTTTAAAGGTGATATGGTATGTACCTCCTGGTTTTGGGACACAGCATCTCTTCAAACTGAAGATGTCATTTCCAGATTTTAGAGTACAGCCTTTGAGAGCATTCATCAGTTCTAGAACACTAGGAAACTCTTGCTCCCAGCCTTCAAGTACAAAGGAATTTCCTTTCTTCTGGATCCGGAACTGTCTGTAGCTTGCAGCACCTTGAGTACTGACACTCTGGTGAAAACAAACAGTAAAGGAAAAAGTAAGAGATGGATACCCTATTTATAGGTCAGCTAGTAGCAAGTTGTGGAAGCAGCATACCACGTTTCTAAAAAGCAATCATTTCCATGCATAGTTGGGGGCTTTAACTTAGTGGATAGTATCGATTTTTAGAATGGTAATATGTAGTCCACCTTCCTTTTCTGAAGCTCTCAGATCAGAGAGTTATAGATGCTACATTTTATTATGCCCTCATGTACAAGGTTTTACGTAACTTCTACTTTCACTCTCAGTGGAGAAGGAGAGGGTTTCTCTATTTTTTACACAGTGTATATCCTGTGTGTTTTTTTATTTATATTGGCCACAAAGAGGCAGTACAGGACACCTTTCATTCTATTTGGGATTCATCAGAGGTAATATCAGGCATACTTTCTATGGGGTTCAAGTGTTATTGTTACTGTTTATTATTTTTCTGTTGCTATCCAAACACACTGTTGATCTTGCTGTTTGTCAC